AATGATACTAAAAGTGTAAAAATGTCATTGAAATACAAAGACAGTTTAGGGGGCAGTTTCAAAGAGATCTACCAATGCAACTGACCATTAGGCTACATTCAAATTAAACATCAGCCACAGCAGCATCAAAAAAAGTCCAATTAATCCTCTTAATGATAAGCTGCTCTACACTGCCACTCCTGTTAAATTAAAATGAAACCTTATCACAATAAGAATTACTATAGCAGAGCACCTGATGAACCAACCTGGACACAGCATATTATTTGAGAACACAGAAATGCTGGACCACTCTCACAACCTCCATGTCAGACTACACAGAGAAGCCATTGAAATCCACAAGAATTACAACAGCAAAACAACAGAGAGGAAACAATCAGGTACATCTAATCACCTCTCAACAAAAGATTGCCCCAGGCACTGCCAGGCCATCAAATGTTAATCAAGGTGGTCAGTTGAAACATTCACACCTAGATCCAACAGACAAGCATTCTTTGTCCCACCCTGGTCATTCCACACATATATAAACCCATTTTCCTAGTTCCAACAGACCTATGAGGATGCTTGCCCTAGATGCAGGTGAAACGTCAAGAGAGAATGCCTCTAGAACATGGCCATATAGCCCGAAAAAACCTACAACAACCCAAGAAATACTATGTTTCTGAGACTGAGAATGATTTCTAAGTGGTCCCACCACATGACGTTTTCCCCCATCCCGTCAGTATTCCACCTGCAAAAGGTTGCAGAAATAGATTATTCTAATAGTGTTTTTTGAACTACTATGGATTTGTCCACTGCTGAAGTGCTGTTTTGTGTGTGATGAGAAAATCTATATGCATCCCATCAGTACCGTTACCCATCAGTACCGTTACTGATGGGTCATAGAGTGATGTAGGGGGTGTTCTGAATCGATTGGGAGGAGTCAGCCTTCTCAATCACAGTATTTTCAAATCATAAGAATTGAATCGGATGTGATGAGGAGAGTATGCTTCCCATCTCAATACAGTATGCATACAGTCCTAAAAATATATAGTATGCATACTGATATAAACGGATTATACCCCAGTGTGATAAGGTCCATGATGTTCCACCGTAACAGGCAGGTTATCAAGTCCCCAGTAGGTGCAATTGTGGCAGTTAATTTAAACAATTAATTTGAATGTAGCTTCACCACTCCACGCCATTTTTGTTGGGAAGTGTGCCATTCTGAACAGTTCAATCGGATTCAGACTTATCTCTAATTCAACTCATGGTAAGTCGCATTGGTGGGTGTCTTTAAAACTCCCTGATAACATTTTCACACTTCCAGAAGCATTTTAAAATGAATTTCATTGGTCCAAAGCTTCATCTGACTTCCATGATTAATTCCAATGGGTTTAAAATGGAAAACAAAAAAACAAACATCAATTGAAACATCAGCTTTTATAGTGTGTATACATTTTTGGGGACACTACCTCACTACCTCTGAGGATGCTTGCCATAGATGCAGGCAAAACATCAGGAGAGAATGCCTCTAGAACATGGCCATATATCCCGAAAAAACCTACAACAATCCAAATAGGAAGCCCTCGTCCTTGAGCGCTCTAACTGGAGGTCAGCTGTGACCAGCAGTGCTGCAGAATTCGAAGAGGCACGAATGGAGGGTGAAAGGGAAAAACGTGCCAAGAGGAAGGCGCGTCAAGCCAACCCTGACCAGGAAGGCCTTCCACCTGGAAACCGATGTCCTCACTACAGGAGAACATGCGGATCAAGAATAGGGCTCCACAGCCACCAAGACATCTGGAGGACCATCATCTTCAAGCTACGAGGGATCGCCTAAGAAGCAAGAAGAAATCTTAAATGTAAGTTGAAGGGAGTTCTGCCCTAACTCATGGCTTGTCCAAGAATGAATTACCGTTGTGTTTGATTGGTTGTTATTTATTTACTACTTAGACTATCCCTGGTTGTCCGAGTAGCATAGTCTTCCAAGATCATTGTGCTGGCGGTGGGTCCGTAGGTGACTGTGGAGCCCTATTCTTTGATCTGCATCTTCTCCCACAGTGAGGGCATCGGTTTCCAGGTGGAAGGCGGTCTCAGTCAGGGTTGGCTTGACGCACCTTCCTCTTGGCACGTTTCTCCCTTTCGCCCTCCATTCGTGCCTCTTCGAATTCTGCAGCACTGCTGGTCACAGCTGACCTCCAGTTAGAGCGCTCAAGGGCCAGGGCTTCCCACCGATCTCGGTCTCATCTAAGCAATTGGGAAACTCAGCTGAGCGATCAACCCAGGGCATAGACACCGAGAACTGGGAAGCCCTGGCCCTTGAGCGCTCTAACTGGAGGTCAGCTGTGACCAGCAGTGCTGCAGAATTCGAAGAGGCACAAATGGAGGGCGAAAGGGAGAAACGTGTCAAGAGGAAGGCGCGTCAAGCCAACCCTGACCAGGACTGCCTTCCACCTGGAAAGGCAGGTGGTCCGTCACCTACGGACCAGGTCCTTCCACCTGGTCCGTAGGTGACGGTGTCTTGATCTGTATCTTCTCCCGCAGTGAGGGCATCGTTTTCCAGGTGGAAGGCGGTCTCAGTCAGTGTTGGCTTGATGCGCCTTCCTCTTGGAACATTTCTCTCTTTCACCCTCCTTTCTTGCCTCTTCAAATTCTACAGCACTGCTGGTCACAGCTGACTTCCAATTGGAATGCTCAAGGGCCAGGGTTTCCCAGTTGTCAGTGTTTATGCCAGAGTTTTTAAGGTTTGGCTTTGAGTCCATCTTTAAGTCTCTTTGATTATTATTATTATTATTATTATTAACTTTATTTGTACCCCGCTAACATCTCCTGCAGGACTCGATGCGGCTTACACAGGCCAAGGCCTCAATAAAACAACAGCATAACAATACACATAACATTTCATGCAAATCAAAACGTTAAGCAATAACAGTAAACAATAAGACAATACACCATAACACGATAAAACTAGGGCCGGGCCAAATGTAATGGGTACAGATTAAAAAGTGCTGAGTATGACAGGTGAAAATAGGGTAAGTGCAATGTGCAGACAATCTTAAAATCTCTACTAAAGTGCTTCTGGGACATATTGCTTCTGGGACATATTGCTGGAGTTTCCTATTCTGGAAAGGCACACTGGAACAGCCAGGTCTTCAAACTCTTCCTAAAGACTGCCAGTGTAGGGGCTTGTCTGATGTCCTTGGGGAGGGTATTCCAAAGTCGGGGAGCCACCACAGAAAAGGCCCTGTCCCTCGTCCCCACCAGACGTGCCTGCGACGCAGGTGGGATCGCGAGCAGGGCCTCTCCAGATGAACGAAGAGAATGCGTGGGTTCATAGACGGAGATGCGGTCACGCAGGTAGGCAGGTCCCAAACCGTTTAAGGTTTTGTAGGTGAGCACCTGCACCTTGAATTGGGACCAGAAAATGAACGGCAGCCAGTGGAGCTCCTTGAACAGGAGGGTTGATCTCTCTGTGTAATTATTTATTTTTTATTTGGAGTGCTTTTACCCCGCCCTTCTCAACCCCCTAGGGGGGACTCAGGGCGGCTTACAAAAGGCACAATTCGATGCCTAGCAATTACAACATACAATACACTATACAATACACAAATTTACCATATAATATCACAGTTATAACTAATTAAAACCATCAGACAGTATACTAGCAGCAATAAAACATCTTGTGGTCAGTGTTCACCAAATCCAAGTCCGTAAGACATTTAGCATCGTCATTGTCCTTTCCTACTCTGGTCATTATTGGTTGTCTTTGTCCATCTGCCAGCTTACCCAAACGCTTGGTCCCACATCCAGGTTTTTAGTTTCTTCCTGAAGGAGAGGAGGGATGTTGATATCCTAATTTCCCCGGGGAGTGAATTCTACAGGCGAGGGGCCACCACCGAGAAGGCCCTGTCCCTCGTCCCCACCAGTCTCGCTTGTGATAAAGGTGGGGCCGAGAGCAGGGCCCCCCCAGCAGATCTTAAACTCCGAGGTGGGAGTAGAAGGAGATACGTTCGGACAGGTATGCTGGAGCACCAGTTAACATCCTGGCTGCCGCCAGTTGGACTAACTGAAATTTATTGTCGAAGGCTTTCATGGCTGGAATCACTAGGTTCTTGTAGGTTTTTTCGGGCTATAGGGCCATGTTCTAGAGGCATTTCTCCTGACGTTTTGCCTGCATCTATGGCAAGCATCCTCAGAGGTAGTGAGGTCTGTTGGAAATAGGAAAATGGGTTTATATATCTGTGGAATGGCTGAGGTGGGGCAAAGAGCTCTCTGCTGAAGCTAGGTATGAATGTTTCAGCTGACCACCTTCATTAGCATTTGAAGGCTTGGCTGAGCCTGGGAAAATGTTCTGTTGAGAGGTGTTAAGATGTGCCTGGTTGTTTCCTCTCTGCTGTTTTGCTGTAGTAATTTTAGTAATTTTTAACTGAAATTTCCGAGCCATTTTCAAGGGCAGCCCCACGTAGAGTGCATTACAGTAGTCCAATCTAGAGGTGACCAAGGCATGGACCACCCCGGCCAGATCAGCCTTTACGAGGTATGGTCGCAGTTGGCGCACGAGTCTCAATTGTGCAAAAGCCCTCCCGGACACCCGACGCCTGAGCCTCAAGCGTAAGTGATGAATCCAAGAGGACTCCCAAACTGTGGACCTGTGACTTCAGGGGGAGTGTAACCCCGTCCAGCACAGGTTGCCACCCTATACCCCGATCTGGTTTACGATCGACCAGGAGGACCTCTGTCTTGTCGGGATTGATCTTCAGCTTGTTCCTCCTCATCCAGACACCCTCCAGCACTCGAGGGGCCTCCTTGGAGTTTGGTGGAAATGAATAATAGAGTTTGATTAGTTGTAGATGGATCGGGATGTGGTGTATTCGAAGGATGTTGAGGTTTCATAAATGTTTTATTCTTTTTTGCATACCAAATGGTGTTCTTTGCGATAGTACACGCCTGTGCCTTGGGCAACTTCTGAAGAGAACTCGACAAAAGAGGATAGCCTGTCAGTGAAGAGAAGAGGAAGCACTTACCACACAGGACTGAGAGGAAAAGGCGCGCTGGCCACAAAACACGGGTCTCCATCCTGCAGGATTCGCCACAGCCACCGCCTTGGAGGAGCAGCAGCAGAAGAAGAAGGAGAAGCAAGGGCAGCGCTGGAGACCCCTTCCACACAGCTGTATAAAATCCACATTGAACTAGATTATATGGCAGTGTCGATACCTCAGTTCAAAGCAGACATTGTGGATTATCTGCCTTGATATTCTATCTCATAAGGCTGTGTCATTCCACAGCCCCAAGGCTGAGGGAAGAAGTTCGCCTCTGAAGGGCGGGGAGGGGTCGCCTTCACACAAGGCCGCCCCTCCTCCTCTTCCCTCCTTTCTCCTCCTCTTACTGGCAACACTTTGCCATTTATTTCCTTCCTTCCTCCTCTCCTCCCGCCCTCGCTTCCTTGAGAAAAAGGAGAAGGGGGGGTAGGATAATGTTATTATGGCCCTTCCTTCCGTCATCCTCCTTCAAGGCCGAGGAGGGGGCCAAAAAGGGACCATTGCAGCCCGGCTTCTCTTCTCTGCCCTCTTTGTCTCCCTGAGGTGGGATTCTTCCCGCTCATTTGATTCCTAAATTATCCCCCACCCCCTCAGGCAGCAATTTATCATTATTTACTAGCTTGTGTACTCTGCAGTGTCCAGGTTAGGTCATTTCTAATGCTATTTATTAGGGGGGAAAGCCAATCTTTGCTTTTGTGTGTGTGAGTGTTTATGAATGCTTCTATAAGAAAATTCATAAAAATATGGGTGAACTATAACTCCCAACATGATAGTCAATGGGTTATTTGAACATTAGAAAGAACTTCCCGACTGTGAGAGCCGTTCAGCAGTGGAACTCTCTGCCCCGGAGTGTGGTGGAGGCTCCTTTCGAAATTTTTCAACCAGGGGTCCTCAAACGTTTTAACCAGAGGGCCAGGTCACAGTCTCTCAAACTATTGGAGGGCCGGATTATAATTTCATAGAATCATAGAATCAAAGAGTTGGAAGAGACCTCATGGGCCATCCAGTCCAACCCCCTGCCAAGAAGCAGGAATATTGCATTCAAATCACCCCTGACAGATGGCCATCCAGCCTCTGTTTAAAAGCTTCCAAAGAGGAGCCTCCACCACACTCCGGGGCAGAGAGTTCCACTGCTGAACGGCTCTCACAGTCAGGAAGTTCTTCCTCATGTTCTGATGGAATCTCCTCTCTTGTCGTTTGAAGCCATTGTTCTGCATTCTAGTCTCCAGGGAAGCAGAAAACAAGCTTGCTCCCTCCTCCCTGTGGCTTCCTCTCACATATTTATACATGGCTATCATATCTCCTCTCAGCCTTCTCTTCTTCAGGCTAAACATGCCCAGCTCCTTAAGCCGCTCCTCATAGGGCTTGTTCTCCAGACCCTTGATTATTTTAGTCGCCCTCCTCTGGACACATTCCAGTTTGTCAATATCTCTCTTGAATTGTGGTGACCAATTTGAAACAAAACATGAATTCCTATGCACACTGCACATATCTTATTTGTAGTGCAAAAAAACACTTAAAAAACAATATAGTAATAAAAATGGAGCTGAGGAGCCTTCTAATCAAGGTGAAAGAAGAAAGCGCAAAAGCTGGGTTACAGCTAAACATCAAAAAAACCAAGATTATGGCAACAAGAATGATTGACAACTGGAAAATAGAGGGAGAAAATGTGGAGGCCGTGACAGACTTTGTATTTCTAGGTGCAAAGATTACTGCAGATGCAGACTGTGGCCAGGAAATCAGGAGACGCTTACTTCTTGGGAGGAGAGCAATGTCCAATCTCGATAAAATAGTAAAGAGTAGAGACATCACACTGGCAACAAAGATCCGCCTAGTCAAAGCCATGGTACTCCCTGTAGTAACCTACGGATGTGAGAGCTGGACCTTAGGGAAGGCTGAGCGAAGGAAGATAGATGCTTTTGAACTGTGGTGTAGGAGGAAAGTTCTGAGAGTGCCTTGGACTGCGAGAAGATCCAACCAGTCCATCCTCCAGGAAATAAAGCCCGACTGCTCATTGGAGGGAAGGATACTAGAGACAAAGTTGAAGTACTTTGGCCACATCATGAGGAGACAACAAAGCCTGGAGAAGACAATTATGCTGGGGAAAGTGGAAGGTAAAAGGAAGAGGGGCCGACCAAGGGCAAGATGGATGGATGGCATCCTTGAAGTGACTGGACTGACCTTGAGGGAGCTGGGGGTGGTGGCGGCCGACAGGGAGCTCTGGCGTGGGCTGGTCCATGAGGTCACGAAGAGTCGGAGACGACTGAACGAATGAACAACTGGTATCAAACAGGGATGTGTTACTGCCCCAACTTTAGTCTCCATCTTCATCGCTATGATACTTCACCTTGTTGATGAGAAGCTTCCCACCGGAGTGGAAATCATCTACCGGACAGATGGCAAGCTATTCAACCTCACTACATTGAAAGCCAAAACCAAGGTTACAACAACATCTGTTATAGAACTCCAGTATGCTGATGACAACGTCGTCTGTGCGCATTCAGAAGAAGATCTACAAGCCACTCTAAACACCTTCGCAGAAGCATACGAGAAGCTTGGCCTGTCATTGAACATTGAGAAAACCAAAGTGCTGTTCCAGCAGGCACCAGCCAACCCCTCTCCAATGCCAGTGATACAGCTTAATGGTGTAACATTAGAAAATGTTGATCATTTCCACTACCTTGGCAGCTACCTCTCCACCAAAGTCAACATCGACACCGAAATACAACACTGCCTGAGCTCTGCGAACGCAGCATTTTTCCGAATGAAGCAGAGTGTGTTTGAGGGCCGGGACATCCGTAGGGATACCAAGGTGCTTGTCTATAAAGCTATTGTCCTCCCAACCCTGCTATATGCCTGCGAGACGTGGACTGTCTACAGACGTCACATACAACTCCTGGAACGATTCCATCAGCGCTGCCTCCGGAAAATTCTGCAAATCTCTTGGGAAGACAGGCGGACAAACGTCAGCGTGCTGGAAGAAGCAAAGACCACCAGCATTGAAGTGATGGTCCTCCGCCACCAACTCCGCTGAACCGGCCACGTTGTCCAAATGCCCGACCACCATCTCCCAAAGCAGTTGCTCTACTCCGAACTCAAGAAAGAAAACGGAATGTTGGTGGACAGGAAAAGAGATTTAAAGATGGGCTCAAAGCCAACCTTAAAAACTCTGGCATAGACACTGAGAACTGGGAAGACCTGGCCCTTGACCGCTCCAGCTGGAGGTCAGCTGTGACCAGCAGTGCTGCAGAATTTGAAGAGGCACAATGGAGGGTGAAAGAGAGAAACGTGCCAAGAGGAAAGCACGTCAAGCCAACCCTGACCGAGACCGCCTTACACCTGGAAACCAATGCTCTCACTGCGGAAAAAGATGCAGAGCGAGAATAGGGCTCCACAGCCACATACGGACCCACAAGAATACTGGAAGACAATCCTCCTCAGAAAACGAAGGATCGCCTAAGTAAGTAAGTAAGTAAGTAAGTAAGTGCGTGTTTATGAATGCTTCTATAAGAAAATTCATAAAAATGTGGGTGAACTATAACTCCCAACATGATGGTCAATGGGTTATTTCATTTATCGTGTCAGGGGCAACCAGACAATTGCATTATATTTCTAACAGAACAAAACAAACAAACAAACAGACAAAACACAAGTTTGCAAGCTTGGTAGTTGATTAAATGTCCTTTGACCAGTATCTGGCCATTTGGAGTGCCTCTGGTGTTGCCGCAAGAAGGTCCTCCATTGTGCATGTGGCAGGGCTCAGGTTGCATTGCAGCAGGTGGTCAGTGGTTTGCTCTTCTCCACAATCGCATGTCGTGGATTCCACTTTGTAGCCCCATTTCTTAAGATGGCTCTGCATCTCGTGGTGCCAGAGCGCAGTCTGTTCAGCGCCTTCCATGTCGCCCAGTCTTCTGTGTGCCCAGGAGGGAGTCTCTCATTTGGTATCAGCCATTGATTGAGGCTCTGGGTTTGAGCCTGCCACTTTTGGACTCTCGCTTGCTGAGGTGTTCCAGCGAGTGTCTCTGTAGATCTTAGAAAACTATTTCTTGATTTAAGTCGTTGACGTGCTGGCTGATACCCAAACAGGGGATGAGCTGGAGATGTCACTGCCTTGGTCCTTTCATTATTGGCTGCTACTTCCCGGCAGATGTCAGGTGGTGCAATACCGGCTAAACAGTGTAATTTCTCCAGTGGTGTAGGGCACAGACACCCCGTGATAATGCGGCATGTCTCATTAAGAGCCACATCCACTGTTTTAGTGTGGTGAGATGTGTTCCACACTGGGCATGCAAAAATCAAATGTGGTCCCCATCTTCAAAAAAGGGGGAAAAGAGGACTCAAACAATTACTGCCCAGTCAGCCTGAAATCAATACCAGGAATTATTCAGGAACAGATTATTAAACAGACAATCTGTAAGCACTTAAAAAGGAATGCCATACTCACAAAAAGTCAACATGGGTTTCTCAAAAACAAATATTAGATTAATGGTATCTCTTCTTTTGATAGAGATAAGATTTTGCTAGAGATAGGTTTGGTAGATGAAGGAAATTCTGTGGATATAACATATCATGATTTCAGTAAGACGTGTAACAAGGTTCCCCATGACATTCTCAGAAAGAAGCTATGAAAATATGGGCTAGACAATGCTACTGTTGGGTGGATTGGGAATTGGCTGACTAGTCAAACACAAAGCGTGCTTACCCATGGCTTCTCATATTGGTGAGAAGTGACCAGTGGCGTTTCACAGGGTTCTGGAGAACAAGCCCTATGAGGAGAGGCTTAAAGAGTTGGGCATGTTTAGCCTGAAGAAGAGAAGGCTGAGAGGAGACATGATAGCCATGTATAAATATGTGAGAGGAACTCATAGGGAGGAGGGAGCAAGCTTGTTTTCTGCTGCCCTGGAGACTAGGACGCGGAACAATGGCTTCAAACTACAAGAAAGGAGATTCCATATGAACATGAGGAAGAACTTCCTGACTGTGAGAGCTGTTCAGCAGTGGAACTCTCTGCCGAGTGTGGTGGAGGCTCCTTCTTTGGAGCTTTTAAACAGAGGCTGGATGGCCATCTGTCAGGGGTGCTTTGAATGCAATTTTCCTGCTTCTTGGCAGGGGGTTGGACTGGATGGCCCATGAGGTCTCTTCCAACTCTATGATTCTATTATTCTACTAGCCGTCCCCTGCCATGGATTGCCACGCATTGCTGTGGCCCACATGGGGGTTCTGTGTGGCCCAATTCTATCATTGGTGGGGTTCAGAATGCTCTTTGACTGTAGGTGAACTATAAATCTCAGCAACTACAACTCCCAAATGTCCATTTCCCCCAAACTCCACCAGTGTTCACATTTGGGCATATTGAGGATTCGTGTACAGTTTGGTCCAGATCCATCATTGTTTGAGTCCACAGTGCTCTCTGAGTGTAGGTGAACTACAACTCCAAAACCAAAGGACACTGCCCACCAAACCCTTCCAGTATTTTCTGTTGGACATGGGAGAACTGTGTGCAAAGTTTGGTTCAATTCCATCATTGGTGGGGTTCAGAATGC